GATATGTGTGGACACGGGCGTGATAGCCCAGAGCGTGATAGCCGGGAAAAAGAAGATGAAATTTATCCAAGTGCACGTGGTCAACACCGTTGCAGACACACCAAACCCAAGCGCTGCGTCGAGGCCTCTCGTACAAAACTCACACCATGCTTTGGAGACACATTTCAAGGCACAGTTAGTTGTTGTTGTGTTTCTCCCATCATTTGAATCTGTCGTCTGCCTCTCTGGCCCCTATCCTCCACTTCTACCAGCTAGACAACCCAACCGGAGTCACATAGGAGGGGGGGGTTGAACCCCCTCCTGCGGTTCCTGCCTGAGATATTTTTATTCGAGCGAAGCGAGATTTCTAATCTGGCTTGAGGTCTCACCGCAATATAGGGGCTGATGCAGGAAAAAAAGTTTGTGCAAAGATGTTCGCTTAAACTAGGTTTTAGAGTACATGACTTGATTTTTGACTAAAGGGCGCACTTTCTTTTTTTTTTGAGAACACAGCAGCAGCAACAGCAGACAACACACGCTCAGCGAGCAGACTGACACTGAACACTGAACACACGCACAGCAGACAACACGCGCTCAGCGGGCACAGCGACACACCAACAGCGCAGAGCGGACACAGCCACAGCGGCCTTCATGGCATGGCAATTGTATGAATAGACATCCGTTGCGGTCGATTGACCCGAACTCCCTCCATGAGGCGGAGGTGTTACGGTTACATGGTTACGGTTGATAGGAGTTACACCTTGGGAGAATGCGTTGTTCCCAACAGGTACTAGCAGTAAGGTCCGGTTTGCCGGGCCCCGTCTTGAGGCTAGGATTGCTCAGCCTCCCTGCTTCACTACTTCTCCTTGCTTGCCCTGAGTTAGCAATAATCAACAAGCGAATACCGTATCCACGACCGGAGACCTTCCACTCCTTGTCACAAGCCACCTACGAGGCTCACTTCTACCGCTGTTCCGGCTCATCTACCGAACTCGGTACCGATCGAGAGGCAGCTACCATCAGGTCGGTAGCAGTGCTTGTAGTCCGGGGTCCCAT